TATTTACGGCAATAATTACACCATTTTTTAATGATGGTTTGCCTTTAGAATTTGGATTTTTCAGCAAGTTCAGTGTCAGAGTGATGAATGTTATTTAATTGTGAAGTAGTTGTATGGATGATGTTTACGTTTTGTAATTGTAAGTTTTCTGTTTCTTCCAGTTTCGTAGTTATTTTTAGCTTGTTCTACTTTTTCTTTTAGTTTTCGGAAATCTATATTGGGTTCTTGAATTGAAGATGGATGCGATGCTCTCTTTTCTATCGCTATTTTCCGTAATTGTGGCGTTAGAGTCATCATTAAAATTTCTGTCATTTTTGTGTTTTTATAGTCATGCGTATTAGGGGAATATGCTTTTCTTACTAATGTTTTGATTCTTACTGCAAGTTGTTTAATTGTTTCATTTGGGATTCTACGAATTTCATTGCATAAGATTCTTTGGAGTTGTTTGTTTCTTTCAGAGTCAAACATTAAAAAAAATTCTTGTGTGAATCTTTTCCAATCTGATTTAATATCAATAAGTAAAACTCAAAACTTTTTTGGGCTGCGCCATCAAGTGTGGTTTCGATTAGAGCTGTGAGTCTATGTATCCAAATTTGATGAAGTGGTGCATTTACTTTTTCAGGTTCTATATTCAAAATTAAATTGGCTGTGACTGAGTTTAAATGATCTTCTACTGAGTTTCAGGATCTGTTCCTGTGATTACCATTGGTGCTTTATTTGAAGATATAGAAAATCCACCCTTAAAGTATGGGTTCATAGTCATTTGTAGTGTTTCTGCGGCATTTGTTATTTGAGAAAAACTTGTAAATTGTATTTTTTGTTTTTTTCATGTTGTAAATAATATGGTAATGGGATTTCATTTTGCATTTGGGTTGATTGATAATTTTGTGTAGATATAGGATTTGTGATTGAAAGTTAATTTCATATGATGTTGTTTTATGTCTTGTTTTTTGTGTTTGGTCGTTTTGTGTATATGGTTCAAAAAGATCTGGTTGATAAAGACTGATCTTAATCTTCTGAATTTTGTGGTTGATTCCTTGTATGGTGTTTATTAGTCATATTTTTTATTTTGCTGGAAAAATGGATAATTTTCGCTACGATCCATTGTTGCTCATGGTTGATTGTTAAAAAATACTGTATGAGAGGCTCGTTGTGGTACGTTTTGATTATAGCTTTGTGCGTGTGATTGGTTTTGACTGTTCATAAAGGGGGGGGGGGGGGTTGTTGTTTTGGATTTAGCAAAAAAGTTATAGTTATGATCTGAAAAGTTGATTCTATTAGACGTTTTTTGTTTATTTGCTTGTCTTATGTCGTTACTGGTGTAAGTGTTTGATAATCCGTTTGTTGCGTATTTTGGAATAACGGAAGGTTTTACTGTGGATTGTATAGTTGTTTGCGGAAATATTGTATCTTAATTTTTGGAGTTGTAAGTGTAGGATGAACGGGGGAAATGCTTTGTTGCGTTGTTGTTGGCATTGTTCCGACTATTTCTTCATTAAAAGGTTTAGTGAGTGAGGTTTCTTGTTCTATTTAATTTTTCTTGTGTGTTCATGAATGTAGATTTCAAGCTATTATTTCCTGTTCTGTCAATGACCATTGCATTATAATTTGAAGGTGTTTCATCAATGATAATTGGAGTTATTCTAACCTAGTCTTTTTTGATAGAAATGGTGGTGATTGCTTGACTGGATATATCAGTTGATATATTAATAAATAATGGGTGAGACCAACCAAGGTCCCAAACATAATGTGTTTCATCTGCTAATACAGTTTCATCGTCTGAATTTTACGGTCGAAAACTTTTTCTTGATAGTGCTGTGAGATCAGTGTTATGGACAAAATAATCAATTATAAACCTATTATCATCTTTTGTAGATCTTGTGTAACATTTTGTGAGATTTTTACTAGTGAGATTTTCACGGATTGTATTTGAAAATTTTGAGAAAATACAGATTATTTGTCTTACAGTTTAATGCCCGGATGTTTGAGTTGGTGACTCACTTTGTGATACGTTCAAATCTAGTATAGATAGATTGCTATTGTTAATTGATAAAACATTGTTTGTGAATATTGAATTTGCTCTTTATGAATTTTGGTGTTGTATATTTGTATGTAGTCTGTGAAAACTTTCGACAATTCTATATCTGTATTGTCTGTTTGTATTTGATTTGTATTGTGATTTGGTTTTAGTGATACAATTTCAATTGTAACTATACCGTAATAAGATGTGATATTACATATACTTTTGGGATAGTGGTCAAGGATTTGTCATTTTATTCTTACTTCAGGAAACTCTTACTTCAGGCTATTTCCTCTTTTAAAAAAAATTTACAATTAAGTTGTAACAAAATTGAACTTGTCCTCGGGCGGGATTATTTTGTGGTTTTATGAAAAATGGGAGTATAGAGTTAACATCAAAATTTTTTTGTTATTTTCGATCGTGTTGTAGAAATGTTAGGGTGTATCATTCAATATCTCTTATTGGTTGATTCTAATTGTATAGACGTATTGTTTTGTTGATATATGACATTTTATTTTGCCTTTTCCTTTAATGATCAAGGTGTTCTAGCTTCTGAGTCAGAAATATAAACTTGGTCATCTATCGGGTTATTTTTATTTATTGAATCTTTTAAGTTTTGAAGTTCCTGTGCTGTGTTTTTTTTCTGATTCTGAGACTGCGTTTCGTCGTTTTGAAAACCATTTTTTGATAATTTCCTTTGTTTTGTTATGATTGTCTTTTTTCTTGTTTGTCTTTTTGACCTAATATATCCTATAGTTTGTCTGTGTTGGGTGATTACAAGATCGTATCTTTCGTTTTTATTTAAACAATTATGTAGTACGATATTTTGTTTACTGCCTAGATTATCTCTTGACATAAGGTTTAAGATAATGAATGCAATATTTGGGGGTTAAAATTTTTATATTCCTAAACTGTTAGTTCTTACGGTTTTTGTGTGGTTATCTTAACTTGGGACATAGATTGTCGTGGTTGATGGGTTGGAGAGAGAGAGTATATCAATTCATGAGAGTGTTTTTTACATTCTCGTGAATAGGTTTTAATCTATGAGTTATTTACTTGATCATAGCTAGGGGTTGTGATTTGTGATGGAGGTTTGGATAACAAAAAATCAATCCACAAGATTCAGGTATAATTAGAACAAAAGTAGATCGTTAGATACTATTTTATGACATACAAACTTTTTAAGGGGTTTAGCCTGGGTCGGGTCATCTAAGAGGAGGATCGCAAGTGAAGGATGAGTAACCAAGTTTCTTCACTGTTTAGCTTAATTAAAACGGTTAGTTTTTCAAAAATTTTTTATTAGTCCTGGGTCATTTATAAGGGTTGGGTAGTGAATCGACTTTTGAGGTCGTTAGGCACTTTTAAAATTATGGGAAGGGGAAACAAAATTGTTCTGATTTTATCCAAAGAAAGCCTTGATGATCAGTTATAAATTAAATTAAATTTAGGTTTAATTGAAATTAAAGATACAATGGAAGCCTTGATGATCTGTTTATGAAAGAAAAGTGGAACATGGAAAGCAAGGATAAGCCTTAATAAAATTTGATTTAAAAGCTTTGAGTTTCGGAAATTTTAAAAGTTAAGTTTTGGATGATATTAGTTTTTTTTGAACTTTTTGCTGTTATGGTTTAGATGATAAAGCTGGGATGAGGAAAATCAGATATGTTAGTTCAAAAAACTAACAATGATTTTTAATACTAACTAATTTTTGTATTTTTTATTCAAAAAATTATTTATTCAAAAGTTTGAATCACTGCAGATTGTGGGGGAAACGACTTGTGCTCTTTTCATCAGTCGTTATTGTATAGATAGTAGGTTTAGCACCATTAAAGTTGTTGAAGAAATTTTTCTTCAAATTATTTTCATGTCAGTAAATGAAAATTTAATTTTACTGCATAAAGTACTCTAAATACAAAAACTTGTTCCGGTTTCCGTCGTACTATCATGTAGCAGAGTGGTCCGTTTCCTGATCGTTTTTCACGACACGATTTTGTCTTCTTTCAATACCTGGTACTTCTTGTTTTGTTTGGAAACCTGGCCCAAATTTATTGAGACGTAGAGACATTTCTATTAATTTATCTATTGCGTCTAGAATTTTTGCAATTTTGCAACTGTCTTATTCTAAGTTCTAATGTCTTATTCTAAGTTAGTTAAGGTCTTGTTCTTGACTTTTGGTCGCGCCAGATGAGTTATGACCTATTGGATATACTTATAGAGTAGTTTCAGATAAGTTACAACGTCTGCTCGTGACGCTATTTTATTTTCGGCCGTATAGATTCGTGCAATTTCTTAGTCT